CGTACATATTAAGTCTGCGGTATAATTACTTAATTTACCGAACGTTAAAAGATTCGATCACGTCTTTACATGATTCAATAGTTACTTTAATAGTTAGTCTAATAGTTATTATAAGAGAATTGTAAATTAGTGCATCATATTCAAGATAAACAAATAGAGAAAAGAAAATGAGAGTAGTCAAATCACTTAAAATTAAAAAAGCCTGTGGTGACGAAAAAATAATAAATGAAATTATAAATAATTTCAAGTCACAGATTTTCAATTGAATGGAAACATTACCATGACAACACTCCGTGTCGCCAACGTATATGTAAGTTGGTGATGAAACACACTATATCAATATCTATGAAGTCAACATATTTTCAAATATAGGGAAAAATTGATAAACAAATGTAAACATGTTTACTTACTAAGGGTTATTAACACTCATATTGTTATTAACTTCGCTAAATTTATTTATCTGATTATGGATATTTTTCTGTAGTGTAGAAACCATACTGCTGTACTATTATTCAGTGTAGTGCGAATTAATAATAAGTATATGATTGTTTTTGAATGCGACAGTCTGCGCATTGCCACTCCTCAGATAAACCGAGACATATTATATTAATTCAGTTGTGTATCATTGTATTATTAGTGCAGTTTTGGGGTGAAGCCCGCCAATCTCTTCATGTGATGTTTACGAGGTTATCTCAATGATTAGGGTCAATACGAATAATGTCATTATTGGTGTATTCTATGCCCAACATTTGATGTTGAAAGGAGCCTTTTATTTTACCATATTCTAGGTTGATAATGTTAATTTTGCTAATCTTAATGAAATGAAAAAAACATTGTTTTAAATAATATTTTGCTGTACTTTTTTTTCACAGATTTACAGAGGTCATGGCAGCGTGGTTTCACTCTGTTTATTTGCATACGTGGTGTTTATCGGGCCTGTATTGTCGGGACAAAATGCCATGTATCTTGCATATTACCCCAATTTGAAAGTGTATATTCGTCCTGAGTCGTGGTGGCCTCGATTAGAACGAATGTTCAAAATATTTTAACCTCAAAATACGAGCTAAATAATAATTGTTTGAAAAGTGTGTTATATTATCTAGAGTATATAACAGTGATTATTTATTCATAGTTCGAGGATGGTTTCCAATTAACTTGCTAAAGTCATGTGTAAAAATTATGACAACAATTCCATGATTGAATTTTTTTCAGGAAATTGATTTAGGTGTGACGATACGTGATTTTTCCCGTGTATTTTTTTTTTCAAATTGGCCATCACCCCGAGTTTCTAATGGTCAACCCATACTAGTATAGTCGTACTCGACTGAACATATGACCCTGTGTATCAAACAAGTTGCCAGGTCTGGGAATCATGGGTATTTCAAAATGGCGGCTATTGAGTGACGCTTTCGTAACTGGTCGGGGTCACTGTGTCTGGACACCGTGGTGTTGAGGGACGGTGGTCTGGAGAAGATCATCGAACAAATTAGGCGAGTGGGGTGTTATTCTTTTTTTTTTCTAGTTCTATGGATATGAGAATAAGATTTCTGTTATTTTCTTCACATGACGAAACCACTGTGGTTCGATGTTGTAGCTGTAAGTGTTCTAACAGTAACCATGCAACTGAACTGAATCACGACCAGGAAAGGGGGGGGGGGGCAGTCAGCTGGTGTGCGTACCACAGGCGCTCTGTACTTTCGTTATTAATAAAAACGATAAATATATAGATAGATTTGTATAGGGGTGGGATTCCACCAAAAAGGTACCTGTGGTGTGTTCAAAATAGCTTCTAGTATACGTTTCGAGCAATGGCTTATTTTCAATAACGTACAGATAATAATAATAATATACTAGTTTATTACATCTTTAAAAATACAAGTTTCAATCAGTATGTAGCAATAACATTTAATAAAAAAAGAAATAAAACATAAATATGAAATAAAAGCATAATGTAAGTTGGCATATTTTGTTCATTGAATGTGTGAAAGTAGTGAGAATATAGGTTAATGTTCTCATGTTATTAGTCTGCATCAAGTATTTACATTTGTCAATATTTTTAATATTTTGTGATGGAAAGTTAATTTAGAAAAGTAGGGCGTAAAATGTTGTATTTAAAATATGCTATTAAAAAAATATATTTCATCTTCTGCAAAGCTACTATCACACTCTTTACATTAAGTTCTGTTCATGATTGTTGTTGAGACATTCTCAAACAAATTAGTTTGATTTTTGTCCAGTTCAACAAGATCACTTGCTCAATTTAAAATGTAAGATGAGATTCAGACATGTAGATATGTCCCTTGATCATCTTTTTATTGAGTTAATTGAAAACAAATCACTGGCCAGTCCCTAATGTTTGTAATTAAACAAATCTGTATGCACCACCAGCGATAGTCTACAGTTCCTCCACCCATGTAGCTCTCTTTTTTAAATCTCCATGCTCTATCATGATGGAGGGACTGTGCTTTGACTTGTCTAACAGCAAATTGAAGTGAGCCCTCACACATCAAAGATGTCAAGTTTCAGAGAAAACAAAAATAAGGCGATTGAATAGAAATGTACTGATATGCTTATTATAAAGATTGACATGACAATGTCAATAATTAAATAATGGTCATAAAATAACAACAGAATTGTCAGTGGTTTTACATGAAAAAATAAAATAGTAAACTTAAAATGAAAAGAAATGCATAATCCCATAGATTGAGGTGTAAAATATCATCTGAAACAGAGACTGATGGAGGATTCCTCAAGCCATTATTGGTAGTACTGGTAATCAAGTAAGAATGTGGGTAGTGTTTAAGTTATGAAATGTGTTTTTTAAACAACCAAAGTGTTTTGTGTGAAAATTACAACCACTTTACCGGTAATTACAATGGCTAATGATTTAAATTTGTATTTCAACAATTGACCTGTTCAGATATCATAATTATTAATAATTAGTCCAACTAATAAAGTTTTTATGGTATGTTCTAAGGTTCCCTGTCATTTTGTTTAAATTGATTATCTGATTCTCAATTCCATAAATTTTGTACACAGTTAATATCTTGTATATGTACCTTCAATTTTAGGTGAATATCACCATGGCAACCAGTCTGAGCCATAGACCCCCACTGCAAAATCTGCAAAGTATGTACGATGAGAAAACACTATGTGACATCACCGTGGTTGTATGTGGCAGGGAATTTCAGGCGCATAAGGTTATCCTAGCGGCATGTAGCGATTACTTCAAACTGATGTTTACAAGTGAAATGCAGGAACAGTCATTGGCAAAAGTGGAACTGAAATGTGAACTGTTAACGAGTGATTCTTTTGATATATTACTGAAATATGCATACTCTGGTAACCTTGTGCTGAGTAGTGACAACGTTTTTGATGTCATAACAGCAGCTGACCATTTGCAAATCGTCAGTGCTGTTGAAACTTGCTGCCAGTTCATTATCAAGTCATGTCTAGAAATATTTGACATAAAAGTGGGAGACTGCCTCGCTGTGGCAACTTATGCTGATAAGTACAGTCAGCTGGAATACCTTGGTAAAACATTGAATAAGACATTGGCCAAAAACTTTGTCAAAGTGATGGCATACCCTGACACATGTGAGCAGTTAAGTTATGAAAGATTGTGTTCATTACTAGAACTAGACTCGTTATGCGCTTCGTCGGAATTGCAGATATTGCAAACATTATTAAAGTGGTTGCGACATAATTGGGAACATCGCATGCAGTTTGCTGCTGATCTTTTGGGTAAAGTTCGGTTCGGACTGATTGATAAGTATGATTTAGTGGAACTGTTAGAAGTGGATGATATTCAGCAGATTCCTGAATGCAAGGAGTTGTATTATAAAGCTATGGTGTATCATGCATTACCAGATAGAAACAGAGAACCATGTGATCTCATTAATCAACCCAGAGCTTCATGTTTGGTAAGTCCGGTTATGTATACTTAGTTCTGTAAAATTGTTTTTGTCTTATAATAAATTTTTTTTAAAGTTGCTTTATAATTTTGTTATTAATGTTTCATCTTGTATGCTAAGGACAATATGGTAGTAATAAATCATAGTATAAAATATCCCAATTAGGAGGTGTGCCTCCTGTCACCATTATATACTAATACATGTATTATACATCTGTCACCGTAAGGCAATAAGTTACAGCGTGCCATAATTTTGCAGTATTTTACAGGGTATTTGCATCCTACCATATTAGAAAATGCGAATTCCAAATATGGAACAATTACGCATGTAAGCGTCCTCTAATAATAAAAATAAACAAGGCTGCCACCAGGGTTCGACACTCAAAACAAAAAAAGTTTGCTGATTCTGTTCTAAACTTTTTCGATTTCGGCATTCTCATGACGTATCCTTGGAAGAAAAAGATGCTGTGCGTCAGTCGATACTCCTGTTGTATTGCCTTTGTACATACTTTGAGGTATCCTCGTAATAACCTCATTTCAGTTATCTGTGGAGGCTTTCATCTAATGATGTGGTAAAATAATTTTGATCTTTCACCTCAAGGCGACGTCTCATTTCCAGTTCAACAATATTGGGGATAACTCTCCATATTTGTTATAAGACTTATAGACTCTTGCTTATATATAAGTATTCATGTTTGTGTTTGCAGGCACTGGTATCAATTAATACTGTAGTGATGCAGTATTACGACAGGAACACAATGAGATGGGTTACATTGCCTAAATTTGTGAATAATTCTACAGGAAGACAGATAACTGGATTCAATGCACCAGCTGTTGTGGCACATGGCAACTTTATTTATGTAGCAGGGGGAAATATCCAGGGACCAACTTGTAATCTCAGTCGTTATGATATTGGTAGAAATGCTTGGGATAAATTGGCTCCAATGAAAAGTTGTCGATTTGCATTCAGTCTGTGTATCTTTGATGGATACATGTACGCTGTTGGTGGTTATAGCGATTCAGGTTACCTGGCCCATAACAATGCTGAAAGATTTAACTTCATTACTGGACACTGGCAATACATCGGACAACTCAACACGCCTAGATTCCATGTTGCAGTCACACCCTACCAAGGCTTTTTATACGCAGTAGGTGGACAGAAGGATAAATTCACAGCCTTGAAATCTGTACAGAGATTTGACCCAGCAAAGAACACTTGGGAGACGTTAAACCCTACAATACATGCTCACACCCAAGCGAGTCTTATGGAGATTGACGGAAAACTATACGTTAGTGGAGGTAAAACTAATGGTCCTGACAGAAGCAGCGATTTAATCAACAGTCAGACTGTGGAGGTCTATGACGGGAAAACAGATTGTTGGCGTGATGTACCACAAGATTTAATTCCACCTGGTAATATTCCTGCTGTAAACATAGGATCTGATGTGTATATTGTATTAAATGGCTATACTTACAAAACAGGTATACAAACAACTCCAGATCAGGTGTACTATGTTGATCTTGATGACTGGGCTAATGTTGTCAATTTTATCAGAGGCTTGTCAATTACGTGTGTTCCAATAAACGTTGAAAGGTTGATTGATTTAAATGATGTTAAAGACAGCAAAGTGTAATCTCAGTACAGCTGGTATTTTGGATACACATGTATCTTATTTGCTCTATTAGGAAGCATGTCTCGAACAGAAGCACACACTAAAAAAATACATTTATTGTGACCATGGACACAAATGTCATTTATGAAAGTGCTTGAGCTACTAATAGAACAAATACGACTCATGTGTCCAGAAAGTAGAGTACTGGTCACCATCCATATACTGTGCAGTATACTACAACATGTACATGTTTGTGTATAAGGCCAAAAAATAAAATTGTTGCCCTCAACGAACCGACCGCAAAAATATGAAATATTGGATCGCAAATATTAAAAACTCACCATTTTAAGAAGTAAAAAAGTGTTTCCTCTAAAAATTAACGATACTGGACCGTTGTTTGATCCCCAGGGTCCCCGGGGAATAAGTGGCAACTTTGAACCTCGGGTTGATCTGTATTTCTTTGAAAAAAAAAAATCCGGCCGACCGACTTGAGGGCAACATAAGTTGTTTC